GCGACGGTACAACCTTAAACTGAGGGGCATCCCTGACACAGTGAGTACAGAGGAAACGCCGCACTACATAAGGCGTCTCATCTCAACCCTGCTACCGGCCAAACAAACAAAGGCACTAAAACTGGGTGGCATGTTCAGGCTACCAATGCCAAAAAATGCCCCTGCCACGGCCACGGCGGATCTTATTCTCCGCTTCCAAACAATGCACGACAAAGCTCTAATCTTATCTGCAGTGAGAGGGAAAACCCCAATCCAATTTGAAGGCTCATCTCTGCTCCTATTCCCTGACCTCACCAAAAAGACATTACTCTGGCGCAGGTCAATGAAACCACTACTCCAAATCCTGAGAGCCCAGGACGTGCCTTACCGCTGGGGAAACCCCAGACAACTCATACTCACTCACCAGGGAGGCACCTACAGAGCCAAGAACCCTCTGGAACTAGAGGCCAACATGCGCAGCCTGAAGCTACTACCGGAACAAGACTCAACCTCCCGCCTCCGAAACCTGGACCCGTCTAAGATCCCGACCTTCGCGCCACGGTCAACCACAGGACGCCCGCCTGCACTCCTAGCCACTTGACTGGCCCAAGACACACAGTTCATCGGCAGCGACTAACAAGCCAGAAGGAAAACCAGATCATACAGAAGAACTGCGTACTAACAGTATTATAACTCTCTTACGTTATTTTTGATGGTTATTATTCCCCGCTGCTGCGCTCCCACTTATACCTAACTACCCTTCTCCCCTCTGTAATGTAGCTGTTACCTCAACGGGGAGTTGAAACACCCCGACCTAGACGCTATCCTGACAAACCTACACAGAGGGTGCACGTTATCTGAGAAGTCCCCCAACCCACCCTCCCCACTCTTTATAGCACGATACACATGTGCCATAGATATGTTATAAGAGGGTGCTAATCTGTACCTTTAGAAAGGTTCTACACTACAGTGGATACTACCTGTTAGACCAGCATGCCCATACATATATAAAAATCCTCCCCCCACTCCGTACTGATACACATTGTCTAAATGTCATGCTTGTTGTATGCTATAACTTTGTTCCAAGAATATCGTCTGTTGCATACTCCCGAGTGGAGTGAGGCAAAAATAAAGAATTTAAAAAAAATAAATAAAACACTAATATTTGTGTTCAGCGAAGTCTTTCCGAGTAAAACAGTACCCCCCATGTACAGGTTTTATGGTGTCTTGGAAAGTTACAGGGTTAAATATAGTGCTAGCAAATTAAATTCCCTACACTTTTGGCCTGGGTTGTCAGGCAGGTTCCGCTAATTGTAATTAATAAAATGACATAATTATGTAAAATGAGATAGATAGATATATATATATATATATACATATACACACACACACACACGATACCAGTAGAGAGCACTCAGGAGTCTTTCGAGGTAAATTTCATCTGTTGCTTTATTGAGCAATTACAAATTCACACAACGTTCCAGTCTATACAAGACAATTGTGTATGTGAGATGGAATTTGGGAAAACTATTTTTGCAACACTACAGAGAGGGGTAGAAAACCACTATATAACACAACAAGAATTTGAGTACTTACATGAAACTCACCCCAGGTGTCCGGTGTTGTACACACTTCCAAAAGTGCATAAGTACCCCATTCATCCCCCCGGGACGACCTATAGTCTCAGCAATTGGTGGTTTATTGGAGCCCATTGGTAAATGGCTGGACAAGATATTTAAAACTCCAGTGTTGTCTTTGCCTACCTGTGTCAGACAGTGTAGCTGTTATTGAACGTCTTAACATCACAGTACCGGCAGAGGGGATTTTACTAGCAACGATTGATGTGTCTAACTTATACAAAATAATGGTATACTAGCAATCAAGGAAGTGCTACAGAATTTTACTGAGTGGGTGAATCCCCCTCTGGAGTATATACTGGAACTTTTGAAGCTATGCCTCACTTTGAATTATTTTAGATTTGAAACAAAATTCTATATACAACAGACAGGAACTTCAATGGGGGCTCCTATGGCCCCCATGTATGCAAACAGATCATTGGGCCTTATGGAGAACATGTATTACAATACCTCTGCTTTATAGATGACATCCTTCTATGGACTGGAGGAGAGGAAAAGTTTGTTAGCATGATGCACACACTGAATTCACTTCCTACACCTGTGAGATTCACTTACCAGTCGAGTATGAATAATATCAATTTTCTGGATCTACAAATTTTCATCACAGGCAATCGCATGGGCTATACTTTGTTTTCTAAATCAACGGATAGGAACACTATTCTGCATTCAACAAGTTTCCATCCTAGAAAACTAAAAGAGTCACTGCCTATCTCCCAATTCATAAGAGTATTGCGTAATAACTCAGAGGACAGCCGGGCAGAGGTACAGATTCAGGACATGTTCCAAAAATTCCTACAAAGAGGATATTCAAAAACTGTTTTGA